CCTTTGATACCAAACTTTCGCCAAAAATACCGTTTTTAACCGTTTAGTCAGGTTTTTTGGCTGCCATGACACTAAATAAGCCTAGTAAGTTTTGCTAAGAAAGGTTTTTTTACCAAAAGGAGAGATTTTTCGAGGATTACATACAAAATTGAGAAATATTTCATTTCCGGGCATGCGCATAATCCAAAATTTGGACTTTTTTTTGTCCATTAATCCTTCTCATTTTTGTTTGTTGCCCCTTTCCTTTCTTTTTTTCTCGGCCCTTTTACTCTGGCTATCTTTTGCGTTGCATGTTCTTTCTGGCTGTGGTGAAAAGTTGGATGTTAATTACAGGCGAAGCCTAGAAATGGACCTTGATCAGTCATAAGCGTAATGGACCATTTCACCACTGTTTTTGCACCAAAACTGATAAGTTAAATGTTGTTTTTCGATTTGCAACGTCAGAATGTCATCGATATCTAAACCTGACCATTGTACGGAAAGGCCTAGCCTAGTCTGCAATCTGCTTATCAAGAATATCTGATGACATTTAAATTGATGATGTCACAAGTGATACAAAGAGCACGACCATTAATTATGCATATATGTGTAATTGAGGCTCAAAGGGTTAACAAATAGATTCCATGTTGCTGTGCATCTGTTCGCAGTAGATCGCAGATGAGGTCAAAATGCGGTAAAAAATATACAGTGCATGAGATGATAGCTGAGTGTGTCACTGATGTTCTTACCACATTTCGATGTCTTCTTTGATCTTTTACTGAACAAGCACATGGCAACATGGAACCAGTTCTAACCAGTGGAGAAGCCAAGAAGTGTTTTAATAGGTCCATTTGATCAAAAGTAAGAACTAATCAAAATGTGAGAATAATTTGACTCACATAATTTAGGTTATATGGACACCTGAAGCAAGCCTGTCAATGGTTAAAGTTCTATTGGTTCTAAAGTTAAAAAGATCAGTCAGAGGGTTATGAGACAATACTAAAACAAACTATGAGTTCCCAGGGTAATAATATTGCAATAATTGTTAAATGGGAATTGGCTGAACCAGATAGCTATGTTTTTTTAGGTCCAAACTTGTGTGCTTCAATTTANGATCAAAAGTAAGAACTAATCAAAATGTGAGAATAATTTAACTTACATAATTTAGGTTATATGGACACCTGAAGCAAAAATGTCGATGGTTAAAGTTCTATTGGTTCTAAAGTTAAATAGATCAGTCAGGGGATTATGAGACAATACTAAAACAAACATTGAGTTCCCAGGGTAATAATATTATAATTGTTAAATGGGAATTGGCTGAACCAGATAGCTATGCTTTTTTTTTAGGTCCAAACTTGTGTGCTTCAATTTAACTTGATATATTAGGCAGATGAATCAGCTTGACCTTTAAAACTAATGATGTTTTTTGTTTGATCAAGGGATCTGTAATACTGGGAAGATAAGAGGACAGGGATAGGGACTTACATGAAGACCCCTAACAATTTCTGGAGACTCAAATTAAGCATTGTATCTTAACAATCACTGAGCTGGACTATCAGACAGCAGTACGGTAAGTGCACATATTGGCCTGTGATCACAGGTTACTGGGAACATTTCAGTTCTAGATGTACAATATGGCAAAAAAGATTAGTCTAACATCAGAATCACACTAACAAGATATTATCGTTTAGGAACTTGGACGTTTTGCATGTACCAAATGGACCTTTTGAACAAGAAATATGTGTATAATGAAAGAACTGGCCCAGATTGGGATTGGTTCTACCCAGCAAATTCTCTTTTTGGATTTTTTGATTGGTGAAGCAAAGAAGGTCCCACAGACAGCCGCTTTCTGAGAGTAAAGTGTCTTACCAGAGTACACTGGTCAGGTTCCTTGGGTTGGGAACCAGTTAGCACACCATGCCAGCCATAGATCCTTTGCGTAAATGGCGCCTAAATTTGAAGGACAATAGTTTATACATCCTTAGCCTCGTACTCATGTTTCAAGACAAAGGATTTTTTACATGAATGTGAGGCTAAGGATCTATAAGTATTGTTATTTAAATGTAGGCGCCATTTATGCAAAGGGTCTATTAATCATTTGATCTTAATCTTTCTGGTCTTTCTCTTTTTCAGGTGGATACAAATCAGGACAAAGCAAGAAGAGGATGAGCACATTCACCATCATTCAAGATGGATGATTTTATCGCCGTCTAGGACCCAGGTAAACACGTGTTCTTATGCACAAAACGTAAGTTGGCTCAGACTCTCAATTATCCTCCTGAAGTTGGATCTGAGTGCACTCTTGACAACTTGCACAGCTTTCTAAATTCCATACTATTTTTAGATTAATCTACATTGAAAGGAGCTATATTGGGTTTGTTTAATTATCTTTAGTTGTTTCACTGTGATTTCCTTCGTTTCGACATGCTCCGAGTAAAATATAATAGCCGAACGCTCGTATGTGAACAAAAACAAAGGTGTGTCTGATTAGGGCCCTTTAAGTAGAATTTTCTGTCGTTCGCTGATTCTTTGCGGGAGGGTGGAGTAAATAACTATAATAATTTTTCGGCGGATTAGCTGCGATTGAATCTCGTTTTCGTTCACTTTTCTTATGATAACATTATTCAGGAGAAAATGCGTGAAAAACTATTCAAAATATAGAAACAATCCCCTTGTTTTTTCGAGTTATGGGAA